CTCTCTCTCTCTCTCTCTCTCTCTCTCTCTCTCTCTCTCTCTCTCTCTCTTTTTCTCTCTTTCAATAGTTCTATTGTAGAAATTTTAATTTTGATTTTATTGTCGCGTGTGTTAAGAAAAAAATCGTACGCATCTGTTTCAGTTAACTATCACTTCGGAATATCTCAAGAGTGTGTTAAATGTGTTTAAATTCCAACTCAAGCAAGTTTTAGGCAAACTGCGAAAACCTGTCGACAAAAACGAGTAAGAACTCCATAATCTTCCTTCAATAATTATAATAAAAAATATTTTTACTGCAAAACGTAAAACAGTTACGCTAAAACCATACATGAAATTAACATAACAGCACTACATTTTAACAGATGGCTTATGGAACCCACAGAAGTAAACGCTTATTATAATCCACCTAGCAACGAAATTGGTGAGTCTTAAGAACATTTGTATTTTTTTTCAGAGTTTTGATAATCCGAATTGTATTGTTATCTATTTAACTTGCCTTTTCTAGTTATTCCTGCTGCCATAACGCAAAATCCTATATATGATAGAAACCGTCCAGCGTAAGTATTTAAGTGAACGATGTGACATAATATGATTTAATTAATATAATTATATTATTGTTTTTAAGAATTAATAAGTTCCATTGAAATAGATCCACATATTATATCACATTGTATGTAATACTATTTAGGAAAAGAAATTTTATTCAATATTTCATTGTCAACGTTATTTTTTGCAATTTTATAATGTTTTGGTTTATGTAATTGTTTCCCTTCTAATTTATGTGATTTTTCGTCAGATTCTTGAATTACGGAGCGCTAGGAGTTGTTGTCGGACACGAAATAAACCATGGCTTCGACAATCTTGGTAATTTTGGGTTGACAGTTTTGACGAAATATCGTGTAACACCGTTTGCATAATAAATATTTTGCAGGTCGCAAATACGATAAAAACGGTAATGCCGTAGAATGGTGGACGCAAGATACTATCAATAAATATGAAAACTTAGCACAATGCTTTGTCGATCAGTATAACAGTTATGTGGTACCAGGCTTGGAAGAATCAAATGTTCACGTAAGTAGTCGCGCAAAAGAAGGAAATTTTAATTCATTGAACATCTAAAAGATGGAATTAAATTATATCTTTTTATATCATTCATTATATTATAAAATATATATTGTAAGTTTGTCGGAAACAAAATTATAACGATCATATTCAGCAAAGGTCGATTCTGATCTTTATTTTTTAGATTAAAGGCTTGTTTTTTGTTACTACACTGGCGAACTAGTGCGACAAATTAGAGTAAGACAAGCATATTTTTTATCATTCTAGCTTACTGCACTAGTTCAACAGTGCAGCAATAGAAAACAAGCCTTAAATCTCATCATTGACTTTTCACGTACTTTCAACGTCGTTTAAAGTTTCATAATTTTTGTATTAGATGTTTCATACAATTTTGCTTGAATCTGTTCGAATTTTGCGTTGTTTAAAATCTTTTTTATTCTTGGTCACACTAATTTTCCACTGAATGTCGGAAATTCGCAGGTAAATGGGCGATTGACGCTAGGAGAAAACATCGGCGATTCTGCTGGTCTCGTAGCTGCGTATCATGCGTACCAGAACAGAAGGGCGAGACTGAACGAGCCTAAATTACGATTGCAAGGATTAGAGGAGTACAGCGACGATCAGATATTCTTTATGGGCTTCGCGCAGGTAAGTGTCGCAACGTGAAAGTATTGCATAAAAAAAATATTTGACAGACGATCGATAAGAATCGAAAATGTTATCAACAATTTAATCCTTTTTTCAGGCGTTCTGCCAAAATGCCACGCCAGAGCAAACACGATTGCTCCAGCTGGACGAGCATCCCATGCCAGAAACGAGAATACGAGGCAGTTATTCGAATTTCCCTGAATTTTCCAGGGCTTACAATTGCCCGGCAGGAAAGGGAATGAACCCGAACAAGAAGTGTACTCTGTGGTAACAGGACAATGGAAAACAAATAGATCTGGGTGCTTTTGAAATGTGATCTCGAATTGATGACACTATGAGTCTTGGATTTCTTGCATCGTGTCTAGCAATTTGTATTCTTTTATTTGTTAATTAATTTCTTTGTTCATATTAACAAGTTTCTATTTAAAAATTTAATATAAAATTTTTAATATTTGCGAAACGCAACAAGTCTTTTGAAGTAGAAATGCTGTCAGTATAGATTTGTTTTAAATTCAGATTTATTTCTAATTGATATGCAGTATGAGTGTTAAAAATGCTACAAATATAATAAATCTGACCAAAATAAAATTAATAGATGCCAGAAAAAAAGGCATTTTGAATTATACAAATTACTTTTTGTTCCTCTCCTTTAAATAACGCATAGTTTCGAACATATTTAAGCGTTTTTTTACGCAAGAACTATTTGTATAAAGCCAGAACTCCGTCATATCGGACAGCAAATTATCTCTACCTGCCTTAAAGACAGTTTTCGGGCAATATTAATTTAAAAAAAATTATTTATTGCTTCCACTGCATAGAACTGTTTAAAAAATACTAAAATATGTTCGGAACTACGCGAGAACTATTTTAATAAAGCCAGAACTCTGTCCTTTCGGACAGCAAATCACCTTTGTCTCCATGAGGATATATTTGTAAAGTGATAAAAATTTTGTTAATTATAAAAACTATGTTTTTTCGCCAGAACTCTTTCTAGAACTATTGTAGAACTCTCATGCGATAAAAATCCTAGCTGAAATAATTAAGAAATCATCCCGGGACAAAGTGATTTGCAGCGTGAAGTTAGCAAATCAGTTTGCACTTTTCAATTTTTTTGTCTTAAAAGCCAGAACTATGTGTTTAATGTATCAGAACTCTAGAACTATTAGAAAGGAAGTCAGAACTCTCAACAATTCGTGATTTTCCACGAAATGAGATGCCAGCTTCACACATACCTCGAAACTCTCAGAAGTTTACGTCGACTGCAGTCGTCGACCACGAAAACATTACATGTATGTCCATTCTAAAGAATTACACGTGTTAAGCTCAGAAGCAGCCCGAGAGAAATGAAAGGAAGAAGTCCCCGAGAGCGCGTGGAAAGAAAGCGGGAAGAAGATGATCAAAAACTATATCTAGAAATATAAAATATATTGCAGAAAATATTATTTGATCGTTGATTTTTAAACCTTCCCGTTTTCACATTTATATAAAATTTATAATTGGCTGTAATTTCTGTAACTTTATTCGAAATGTCGGACAAAGAATGAAAACCGTTGAATGTGCTAAAAAAATTATAAAAATGATAAAAATTTGGCCATTTTTTCAACGAACTAATTTTGCTAATTCCGTATTATCGTATACGTTTTCTGTTTATTTCGTGTAACAATATTTGACATTAGTATGACATAATTACATAGTATACATAGTATAAGATATACAGTTAAATTGTGTACATTCGAGATATTCGTTCCGGATTACACGAAAACGTCCGAAATGTATTAACATCGTCCATAATTTCCAAATTAGCAGTGTAACATTATATTGATAAGCGACATCCAATCGCGTGATATTTATTATCAATTATCAGTTAAAATTACAAAGCTTATAAAACTTTAATGCGGACACCGAGACTGAAAAAATCATTACTAAAATGATTAATTATCCCTAAAATTAATAATATTTCTCTCAATTATTCTCATGAAAAAGAAAATTCCTATAGTATGTTTCTTGCAATATTTCGGAGAAAATGTTTTATAGTAAGTACATCGTTGTGCGAAAATATAAATGAAACTTCGTGTAATCCGTTTACACAAATTAGACATACAATTTTGTACAATTTGATATAAACAATTTTCGCGACAAAATATATCATTTCGTGTATAATTCATAACTATATCATTATTATTATGCATATTTTTGCATTATTATTGTACAATTTTGTGCAAGTAAACTTGTACAAAAAAGTAAATTGTAAAATTTATTTACATAAAATTGTACAATAATAAATCTGTAAAGTAAATAAATTTTCCCACCCGAAATTATCCTCCAATCCTACCTACCACATTCTTACGCTTATCCGTTGCATAAAAATGTGCAATAAATCTACCAACTAAATCAATTGTTTTATTCATCGAATTATCCCCCAATCCTACCTACCCGTGTAGTCACATATTCATTTTCCTACCTGAAAATTTCTTAAATTTCCTACCTAAATTATCATACTAATTAAATTTCCCTTTATTGCCGAAAATTACAGCCCCATATCCCTATCTCGTACTCTTGTTAATCATTTTCCTATCTACCCGATATTTATCTGGTTTTTACCCGTATTTCTCCCTACGTACATAATATTTCCACCTTATCATTAATTTACTTTTAGAGCGCGGTTACCTGAAATTTTAGAAGACCGACTTTGATTTTAAATCGCGACCGTTTGGGAGTTTTAATTGGGATTTTAATTTACGCGGAATATAGAGAGGTTTTATTTAACTCGAGACGGCATCTTTCCGTCTTCGATTACGTGCAATCGCACGTTGTTATATGTACACCACTTGTGTACTTCGTTGTCTTTCTTCTGGCCAGACAAACTCACCTTTTTCTGGCCAATACTCTGGCTTTACGTAGCCAGAAATCGACAGCAAGGAGATATACTCCTGCTGCCAGCTGATCACAGGCAGCAATAAGCGTAAGATTCTACGCTTTTGTACGATGCGCGAAGCACGAACGCGTCGCGAAGGGGTCATCAAGTTAATTGAATCAGTTACGTACAAAACGAACAATGAGCAATAAAAATAATAATTACATCACGAATTTATTCTTTACACGCGATTATTCGCAATTAAAATATGTGTCCAAAAATTAAAATATATAACCGATTAGAAAAAAAATTCTCTATCTCGACAGCGTTTTAATTCGAAGAAATCGCGATTCTAAACTTTACACAAAACTTTTAAACTCGATAAAAAACAACGAAACTTTAATTTCGAAATTAATGAATAAAAATTGCTAGACGCGTCATCCGATTTAATCTAAGGGACATGGGCGTATTTTCGTCGATTCGAACGATTCGTTTCTGAATCTCATCTCAAAAGCATGCAGAGATGAAAAATTCAGATGAATGAAGTGAGATCCGAAAGGGATAATATAAATTTCCCAATTAGAATTATTAAAAATAAAAATTTCTCTTCGTAAACTATTAAAATTATTTATCACGTAATATGTTATACCGTGTCTCTAAATTTAAAACTCAAGTATTTTTAAGCGACTGGAAACCGATCTATTTTAAAATAATTTGTAGAAAAAACAAGTCTTCTCTTTCGTAATAAAATGAATATTGGATCTCACGTCATATTTACTACTAACTGGTACAACCCAGCTATCAACTACTACATATAAGTTGTAACAGTTTAGGCTAAAGTTAGTGCGTTAAAGTAGGTAATAATGATACAGTAACCATAAGTATCTTTCATGAAAAATAAATTAATAACTTGTATGAAATATATTATGCTAAAATATTTGTTGTAATTTAATTATTACAATACAAACGTATATAAGTAAATTAAAAATACTACTTTGAAAGGAATATTTATCTATTCCATTTCTGCACTAACTTATATAAAATTTAATCCTGGACAAAAGATTATTATTTCATTCTCCATTTTACTATAAAGTTTATAAACTTTAAACTTTATAGTAAAATGGAGAATGAAATGATAGAAGTAATAATAAATAACATGTCTTATAAATAACAATATACAAACTTTTCATACTTATTTCCTGTGGATCACAACATATTATACATATTATGTATGAATACCATGAGTAAACTTAAGTAACAGCAGTAACTTTAAAAGTCTATATCTCAATTGTTATAATTTTCTTCCTCTGTCACTATATTTGCGAAGAATAACGTAATGTACACATGTACTGAATAAAATAAACTTTGATTGACTGAATAACATTGTTAATTAAAATAATTAATAAATATAACATATTCTCATGGTATTCTCAATTTTTCCTTTGTACGTAGTGTGTGCAAGAGTACGTTCTCGTATACACACTAAGTTAGGCAACAAAAGATATATAATTGTAAAATCCAGGATTAAATTTCTCCTAATCTGTTTTAACTTATCAATTTGAAGGTAACGGATGCTCGAAATGCTTTATATTTCTATTTGCTATCTTTACAGTATTAACAAGTGCATATATGCATCATTAGTATGTATATTCAACTAATCTACAACAGATCCGTTACCTCAATAATAAAAATTAATTCATCACTCACCAACACTGACGCGCAACTGCGGAGTTATAACTGCAACGTCGCTACGATGATTCTGTAATGCACAAACAAACATAAAATTAATATTCAAATAATGTTAAAAAAGCAAAGTTTCAAAATATATTTCTTACGCGTAATGAACCTTCTAGTCAATAAAATATTTATACTGAAATTATTAAACGTCTTTCGAAAAAATTCACGGGAACGAACTTTAATAAAATCTCGAATTAATTCTTTCTCCTAATTATTAAGTTATGCAATATGACTCGAAAAGAAACGGCGAAAAAGGTCGCGATTGCGTAAAATAAAGGATAAGTACCGCAAGGTTGCTCCGCCGATGCATGATGCCCTTGCTCAGGCCTCCTCCTCCTCCACTCAGGCTGTCCTCTCGGATGGCAGGCCACTAACACTAACACTGACACTAACATTAACACTCACTCGCGCACTCGGTCCTCTTCCTCCTTTCGCGAACAGTCTGAGATAAATTGTCAATCGACACGAAACGCGCACGACGCATGAGAAAAACGGCCATATTCAAATTCAGGCACGGCGAGCAACCGGCCGCGAATGGCGCAACGGAATACTTCGCAATTCCAGTATCTTCGTCTCGACGGCTCCGCCTCGAGTGAATCGCGCGACACATCCACTCTTCGTCCTTTTTCTCGCAATCGATCAATGTCTCTCGATCCGTAACCGACACAGCCGCTACGCATTCGTTCCGACAAACTTGATAAACTCGCGAATCGTTGCGCGCGTAATCAACGCTTCCCGCGGAAAGAGGAACATTGGTGCCAACCACACGCGGAAAATGTCACAACGCGGCGAGTAACTCGCGGACGCTTCCTGTCCGCTCGAGAATCTTCGGGCGAATTAACCGGCCGCCGGCGCCGAGTCACTTCGTCGCACAGGTACGTCGAATGCCGAACGAAAAAAGAATCCACAGTATCACTTGATAACCGGCGCGGAAGGTAACGAACGTTGTTTCAGAGTCTTGAGAATCCGTTCAGATTTGCTCGCCGTGCTCG